GCAGGGTCTGGGGGCAGAGGGTTGGCGTGGCCAGCGGCAGCCAGGGCCAAGCCTGGGGAAACTCAGCTCACCCCGCAGCAGCCCCAGGAAACCATCCCCTCCTGCGCCGCTACAGCATCACCCACCAGGATGGGAGCACCCTGCTCTCAGCCTGCCCTGGTACCCCGGGGACAGGACCACCCCCTTGCCACCTCCTTCACTTTGGGATGCCTCATCCAGCCTTTTGGAGCCCCGCGTGCTCCCTGCACCATCCCAGGTGACACCAAATGCTTCGAGGGAGGGGGCGGCAGAGCCCGCCATAAACCTAAGCACATCCTGAGCGCTGGTGTCACGGCAGCGATGCCCCATGGCAGTGTTACCCCAGGGAACTCGGTCCTGGGCTGTCCTGCTCCCCTTGCACCCAACCCCATGCCCAGCTCAGGTGGTGCCAGCTGGCTCCAGGCTGTCCCCAACCCCACATGCTCATCCGCCTGTTCCCGATAGCCCAGGGAAAATGGGATACAGGAAAGGATCATAAAAGTCCTGCTGTTTGCTCTTGCTAATGCACACCCCCCCCCCCCCCAAGGCTGAAAGGCACCTCCGTGACGACGCCCTGAGAGGGGAAGGGACCCCCAGCGCAGGGAAAGGGACGGGCTCAGCATCGGGTCACTGTGTCCCTGCACCTCCCTGGCTCTGTGGCACTGGTGGGGTCACACCAGCACCCCACACCCAGCGCAGGCTCTGCGTGAAGCTCTGCTAACCCCTGCCGCAGCTTAACTCCGAGCCAGCGAGGCTGGAGGGGTATTTTGCTGGCAACCCTGGGCGTTAGCAAACAGCCCTGCCCAGGAGCGATGCCCGGGGAGCCGAGCAGCAGCCGCGCTCCCCCAAACCCCAGCATCTGGTTGCAAACCCCCCCGAGCTGTAGCACAGCTTTAGTCCCTGCACCGGCACATCCCTCCCTCGCTGCACCCCGCAGCGGGACTGACCCTGCCTGCAGCCCCCCCTTTTGCTGGCAACCCTGGGCGTTAGCAAACAGCCCTGCCCAGGAGCGATGCCCGGGGAGCCGAGCAGCAGCCGCGCTCCCCCAAACCCCAGCATCTGGTTGCAAACCCCCCCGAGCTGTAGCACAGCTTTAGTCCCTGCACCGGCACATCCCTCCCTCGCTGCACCCCGCAGCGGGACTGACCCTGCCTGCAGCCCCCCCCG